TTCCTGGCGTGTGTGCTGCGTTGCCTGGCAACAGACTGGGGAACTGTTTTTTTTTTTTTGCAGAGCTACATAACATACTTAAATAATTTATTTTATCACCTTTTGTTAACATTTCCTTACTCAGCATTGCTGTTTAAACTGTTGTTGAACTGTTGTATAAAAGGTCGTGACGTGACCGAATCACAGCCGTGACGATATACAGTACAACATCACTCCCTCTCGTGTGATATTGCTTAAGTAATAGCTCGTAGTTATCTAGTAGTTACCACACATTACTTAGCACACTCAGCTAACATAGTAATTACTTGCTAACATTTACTAAGAACTTAGTAAGGACTTAAAACATAAACTTCGTGATGGATTTTATGCAGCAAGAAACTGTGTTCCTATCAGGTCCTAGGGTGCTGTTTTGTAGTGGCCTTTCCTTAAGAGGGCGGGCAAGGGGTTATAATCATATTAACATCAATACTGTTTGACATTATCATTCACTCTTTTCATAGTATCAGTCTTGGGGTCAGTCTGAGTTCGGGAGAGAAATGAGATTTCTTACATGAAGGCACAAGCTGGGAATGCAGATTGAGTTTGATGGCGTTTGCATGATGTTAAAATGAGTCTCCTTGTCCTGTTAATGCTCTCATACATATTAATGATTTGGTAGAGTGGATCTTCAGGTCACTCTGACGCTTTGATTTGTGCCTTTTTGCCCTGATTTGTCTGAGCCAAACAGGATACCAGGCGTCATTATGCATCCAGCAGATGGGGAAAATGAAACATTTTTATTGATGAGTTTTACGCGTCAGGACTTGAGCACCTCTGAACCACAAAGACAACTACGAACGCTGCCAGGCTCATAACTCCTGTTGAATGCCTCCTTCATTAATTTTCTTTGACTTGGGTGATATTGCCTCGAGATGCTGTTGTGGTTTGGTAGATATTACAATTTCCTCTACAGCTTCTTCACCTCAGAGGCTCTAGAGCAAATGCTGCCCTGCCACACCCATCACTGATGTCAACTGTTTACACTGTCCCACTGTGATTTATAACTTTTAGACACATATCACCATTTAGCATTTTTCTATCTTGTTATTATGAAAGCATGCTGAGATATATAAAACCACCACTCAAGCTCAGGTAGACACAAACATGCACTCACACATTGCCAGGGGAATTGGGCTGGAATGTAGATCAGGTGTCTCCGTCATCCAAAGCGTAGAGTTTGGCCCGTAGAAAAGGGACAGTATTGAGTTCCCTCCAAGTATGTATGTGTTTGTGTGTGTGCATGTGTGAGTGCATGGGATATCCAGATGTACTCTCACCCTTGTTTAGGGGAATGTTAATGATTCTAAGCTTGGATCCATGACAAGTATTAGTAAAACCGTAGCTACTGTGGTGGCCCTGGCCTCTTGTCTTGGCAGCTTATTTATTCCGCTTCATTCTGCGGTGCCTTTGTTTGGTTAATGTTTAGACGGAAATGTACACTGATGTTTGCGCTTGTGAATAAGTAGCCCGAGCAGGTGTAAGTTAACTGGTGTGTGTGTTTGTGTGTGTGTGTGTGTGTGTGTGTGTGTGTGTGTGTTAGAAAAGTTGTGAAGGAAGGCGAAATATCATTCGTCTTGATCCACGATTCAAACAATGCACCACAGACGTGCCCTGAAGTGTGTTTGTGTGTGTTGCCTTTTTGACAAAGGTGACAGGATGGGGTCGAAAGGCTGACACAGGCGTCAGTCCTCGGGTAATCAGAGACAGATGTAAAGAATGGCATTGTGTGAGTGTGTATGAGTCTGTGTGTGTGTGCTATTGTATACTATATGAGCATCGAGGGCTGCTTTGAAGCAACCTCAGCCTTAGTCCTCCGCATGCAGGTGGACCAGGAATGTGCGACAGGTCGGTGAGACAGGGCTGGTCTGATATCTGGTTTCAGACTCTGGATTAAATACAGTAACCGAGTTCTCCCAGTATTGATGGAAAATGGACTCTACTGTTACAGTTGTACAAAGGCCAGATTAGACCAGAGGAGAAGTTGTGTTCGGGTGATTCTTCAATGAACGGGATTTAGGAAATAGGAAAAATGAAAATACATCTTGTTTTTTATTTGTGTCACACTCACTTGACACCAAAAGGGGCATACAAAAATGTAATGATATATGAGTCATTATTTTTATTATATTAAAATATCCTTTGATGTGTGGTTTTTACTATATTTATATTGCCCCTGGGCCAGATTTTGGGCATTTAACCCTGCTTAACTTTGAATTTAATATTGATCTAATGTTAATTCCAAATACAATTGAAACATAAATGCTCATTTTAATTAAATGTGTCGTGTTGTGAGAGATATACGTATTTTATGTCTTTACATGTAGTATGTCTTTCAAAATACACTTCCATTTTCACAGGAAATGTGCAGTTTCTACTCATTACATGCATAGTCTTTTTCAAAATGAACTTACAATGTACTTAAAACACTTTGTTTTTACATTTATTTCCTTAAGTTTAGGCAACAAAAGCAGGTGGTAAGGTTCAGAAAAAAAAACATCATGGCTTGGCTTAAAATACAGCTGTTACCAACATAATGTAATGTCATGTGACATATACTGTAGCATGCTACACATACCAGCATACTACATAGTTGTTAAAATAACTCCCTTGACTTTTGGTTTAACACTGGAAATGAACAGTGGGTTCCCAGGTGAAAATCTGGTGTTTGTTTGAACCATCCATTTCCCCTCCCACCCTTTCTGGAAGGACTTTCTGGCTCTTAATACTACAGTAGTTGCCAGCACATTTTATAACGCCACAAAAGTTTCCCTTGTGGGTCCAGAACCGTGGACGTCTACTGATAAAGTGTCGGTATTTGAAGACTTCAGCATTTTGGCCCCTGCGTCAACACGTGAAAGGTACCTTTATGCATCGGTATTTAGCGCTGACGATATTTGACGATATGGGAACCACATTGTACAAAATTTTATTTCATGGAGTCATGTGACAGGAGAGCACGTGGCTGTAGGACAGGTTAGCCCCGTGGTGTTACATCAGAAATATGTTTATTGGCTGTCATTTCCAAACAGCTTTGAATGTACAAATTTTTAAAAAAAATTATATTGTGCATTTTGTTATCTAAAAATAACAAAAAAAAATTGAAGAATGACCAGTTTACTGTCAAATCACATGTTAACCATGTGTATATTTACCCAAACTGTACAACTGTACAAATGCCTTGTTGTTCCTGTTCACCCATTGTACAGCATGTTTTTCTATCTCTCTATCACACACACACACACACACTCCAACCACCCGCAAACATCCCCTCAGGCTGTCCCAGACAGTCTAGCAGTGCCCTGGTGGGACTTCCCCTGTCAGCCTCATCTTTGATGTGGCTCCCATGTCACCAGGAGCAGGAAGTGAGGGTGTCTTGAGTGACAGCTCAGACACACACCGTTGATTATTTTAAAACGCTTTTCTCCCCTCTTTTTGACCTTGCGTGTGTGTGTGTGTGTGTGTGTGTGTGTGTGTGTTTGTGGCTCTGCATGTATGAATAATCTCTGGCTTGGCAGTTGCATTATGCGCATGTTTGTTTTGAAGCTATTTTGATTTCATGTCTCTTTAAATGTGTGTTTGAACGTGCCAACAAGGTAGGTTATAGTAATCTCCTTAACCGCACCGGCCTGGCAGCCTCAGCGCTGCCTGAGGTGTGAGGTCGACCGGTGAACTCACACATCTGGCTGCACCTGCCCAGGTGAACTATGCTTAGTGTCAGAAAGACAGTAGCACCAGCAGGGGATTGCTTGTACACTATTTATTTTTTGTTATTTTTCCCTGCAAACAATCTCCTTACGTCTTCTATTTCTGGTCGC